GGATGGCTTTCCTCCATTTCCCCTGGCCCCGTTTTTTCCTCTCTCTTCTCTCCCACTTAAAAATAATTTAAAATTTGCTTTCCGTCCCCTCTTTGGGGCCGAGGCAGAGGCAACCCCTCAACCTTCGGTACTCAAGGTTACGGCGATAAATTCTCGGGCATTGTCACTTCTATTCGGAGTAAATTGGCTGGCCCGCTTTCGGGCTGAAGGGAAGATAATTTGCTGTAGTATTTCAAATGGATTAGAAATGGATTTGAAGGGAGAGTTCATGCCTCCCATTACAAAGGCTAGAAAGACAGCGACGGGGAAAGGCTCTGTTCACTCGCCGGCCTTCATTATCCACGCTTAATACCTTTCCTATTTGCCAGCATTAATGAAATTTCCTGTCGGAGGAAGGCCCGCCGGACGGACGGATGGGAGAAGTCTGGCGATGGGGAAGGGGTTGCGGGGGGGCGGGGGGGCTGGGGCGCTAGAAAAGGAATTACAAGCCCCTCGCGCTGAGGGCAGGCGTATTCTTCAGGGCCTCGGCTGGCAATTATCCCATTAATTTTATCCTCCTTTTCTCAAAGCAGTTCATTTCCAGAAGTCTTCCCTTCCATTAGGGGAACAATTGGGACCGAGTGCGGTGACACCGTGGCGGACGGGAAGTCGGCAGCTGTGGTTGGAAGGCAGCCCCCCCTCTTCCCCTCCGCCTGCTCTTTCCCGGGGTGGAAGTTTGGGGCAGGTGGGCTCTGCAGCTCAGGAGCGGGCAATTTATATTTTATTTTATTTTATTTTACTTTATTATTTTATTTTATTTTTAATTTATTTAATTTATTTAATTTAATTTAATTTTTTATTTTATTTTATTCTTTGCTTTCCTTTTCCTTTTATTTTAGTTTTATCCTTTCCTTTTCCTTTCCTTTCCTTTTTTTTATTATTTTATTATTATTTTTATGTATTATTTTCAATTTTTAAAACTGCCCACCTGGCTCACAGAGAGACTATAGGTGATGTGCAAGTAAAAAAAAAAACACATAAAAACAGTGCAGGTGGTCCTCGACTTACAAGTACAATTGAGACCCAACTTTTTGTTGCAAAGCGAGACAGTTGTGAAGTGAGTTTTGCCCCATTTTACAACCTTCCTTGCCACAATTGTTAAGTGAATCACTGCAGTTGTTAAGTTAGCAACACATTTGTTAAGTGAATATGGCTTCCCCATTGACTTTGCTTGTCACAACAGGGGATCTGTCTGTCTGTCTGTCTGTCTGTCTGTCTGTCTGTCTGTCTGTCTGTCTCTGTCTGTCTATCTATCTATCTATCTATCTATCTATCTATCTATCTATCTATCTATCTATCTATCCTATCTATCTATCTATCTATCTATCTATCTATCTATCTATCTATCTAGTTTAGAGACTGCCCATCTCACTCACAGTGTGAGTCTAGGTGGTGGATGTACAATTAAAAACCTATAAATATAACGTTTCAATAGGAAAAAAGATGAGCTGTTTTTTCCTTTTCACCCCTCATGGGGCATCTAAGTGGTGCATGCATGCATGCATGCATGTATGTATGTATGTATGTATGTATGTACTGTGTGTGTGTGTGTGTATCGGCTGTCTCCAGACAGGTTGTTTTGACCTGAAGGTTGGTGCAGAAACCTGGAATTCCCCCAAGGAATCCAATTGTTTTTAAGTTATCAAGGATCTTGGCAGGAATGAAAAAAAAAGCTCCAATGTGCACGTGAGCATGCCAGGAAGCTGAGCTTCCAGTTTCCGGTGCGTCCAGGTGCACCGGCCAGCTGGTCTTCGCGGGCGCATGCACGCCAGGGAGCTGCTCTTCTGGTTTCCGCCGCTCCCCCACCCGAGCGCGCTCCCATTTTGGCACTCGGTGCCGAAAAGGTTCTCCAACCCTGTTCTAGAGCAGCATTCTCCGACCTCAGCAACCTTAAGCCCCATGGACTTCGACTCCCCGAACACCCGTGTCTGTAACACATCCTCAAGGTCAGGGAACCAGCGGTGCCACAAATAATCCAAGCTCTTCGTTCTTCTCTGAATCTCTTGCCTACCCTAGTAGTCTTAGTACCCAGGTAGTCCTCAGCTTACGACCACAATGGAGCCCAAAATTTCTGTTGCTGAGGGAGACTGTTGTTCAGTGAATTTCATCTCATTTTACAGCCTTCCCTTTCACGGTTGCTATTGTTAAATAACAGAAATGTTGGGCTCAATTGTTCGTACTTGACGCTGGGTTTTTTGATGGGTGGGAATATGGGGTAGGTGGGTCGGCGTCTCTCCACAGTCTCTTAAATAACAATAAAGAAGAATATTTGTAGCTCAGGATTGAAGTGAGGCGTCCTTGGTGGTCTCTGAGCTGGGTGGCTTTCTTGCAGACGTTTCATTGCCCTACTAGGTATTATTTATTTATTTATTTAAATTTAATTTGTATACCGCCCTTCTCCCAAAGGGACTCAGGGCGGTGAACAGCCAAAATTAAACTACATACAATACAAAAGTTAAGATAATTAAAAGAAATTAAATCAATCGACCTCCCAATTTAAAACCCCAAGTCTATAAAATTTAAAAATCCCATTAAAAACCATTTAGGCTAGGGCGGCTTGCTGGAATAAATAAGTCTTCAGGGCCTTATGGAAGGTCCGGAGGTCCGGGATCAGTCGTATTCCGGGAGGTAGCTCATTCCAGAGGGTGGGTGACCCCACAGAGAAGGCCCTCCCCCTGGGGGCCGCCAACCGACATTGCCTGACCGACGGCACCCTGAGGAGGCCCTCTCTGTGAGAGCGTATTGGCCGGTGGGAGGTTATCGGTAGCAGCAGGCGGTCTCGTAAGTACCCTGGCCCTAAGCCATGGAGCGCTTTAAAGATGAGAACCAACACCTTGAAGCGCACCCGGAAGACCACCGGGAGCCAGTGCAGCTCGCGCAGGAGAGGTGTTACGTGGGATCATCATCAGTGCTAGAAGGTTTGTGGAGAAGGGGAGGGGGAGGGGGAGGACTGTGGGGTCCTTGGTGCTCTCTGAGCTGGATGGTTTTCTTGCAGACATTTCATTACCCTACTAGCAGGGGTGGGTTCTACTTACTTTTACTACCGATTTGCAACGGGGCTGCGCGCACGCTCATTTTCATGATGTCAGGGTCAGTGGGCGGAGCCTCCCGCTGGTTTTACTACCGGTTCTATAGAACCGGTGCGAACTGGGGGCAACCCACCACTGCCTACTAGGTAACATCATCCGTGCTAGAAGGGAGTGGGGTTTGCAGAGGGGAGGAGAAAGGGAGGAAGATGAAAAAGAGACAGGGAGAAGGAGGAGGGGGAGGATTGTAGGGTCCTTGCTGCTCTCTAAGCTGGGTGGTTTCATTACCCTACTAGGTAAGGTTAATCAGTGCTAGTCTCTTAAATCATCAAAAATTCTGATCTTTGCAATTTGACCCATTTTTTAAAAAACTCCTGAAGGCTCTCATTATGAAATTAAACAATAACATGCGTGTTTTGCCTTGTTGGCTCTCCATGAGGAAGGTCTGAAGCTCCTTCTCAGAACTTCTGGGGTGGGACTTCCCTCTACACCGCCACCTCACCCTCATAAGGCAGCATTTGACCTGGTTGGTGGACCTGGTCTCCAAGATCCCCAAGTTGCCCGAGCAGGTGGTCAACTCTACTGGTTGAGCTGCTTAACTCACTTCATGCCTTGCTGGGTTTCCTCTTTAGAGCTCAGCCCTTCCAGCTCTGGCTTTTTGTGGGTCCCGGAAGTACCGAGAGGACCCTTCCCCAACGGTTATCCTCCTCCTCTTTTAACGACCCCATAATCCCTTGCGGGATGGAGTCTGGGCACCTGAATGCAGCTAGCCAAGTGTTTACTGGCCGGATGCCCTTCCTGTTGAGTTTTGTTCAGCTGATATATTCTCATTGTGCCCAGAGAGAGAAATATCTGCCTCTACCTAGGATCGAACTCATAGCCTCCTGATTGTGAGGCAAGAGCTCCACCTCTAGGCCACCGCACTCCTCCCCACCATTAGGGAAAGGGAAAGGTTCCCCTCGCACATATGTGCTAGTCGTTCCCGACTCTAGGGGGCGGTGCTCATCTCCGTTTCAAAGCCGAAGAGTCAGCGCTGTCTGAAGATGTCTCCATGGTCATGTGGTTGGCATGACTCAACGCCAAAGGCACACGGAACGCTGTTCCCTTCCCACCAAAGGTGGTCCCTATTTTTCTACTTGCATTTTTACGGGCTTTCGCACTGTTAGGTTGGCAGAAGCTGGGACAAGTCACGGGAGCTCACCCCGTTATGTGGCGCTAGGGATTCGAACCGCTGAACTGCCGACCTTTCGATCGACAAGCTCAGCGTCTTAGCCACTGAGCCACCGCATCCCTCCACCATTAGGGAGCCTTGAATTCCTTTTTCATGCATCCCCCACCTCCTCCTAGAGTTTAGACCCCTGTTGAGATTAAGGGCAGCTGGAGCTGACCGCCTCTCCGGCCCTCGCAATCTATTCACACAGACCCAGGAAATTAAACGCCGGCTGGTTGACTTTTGAGACTTTCATGCTACAGCGGTTCACTCAGATTGATCCTCAGACGGGAATTTAAAAAAAAACAAAACACAAAGGTCGTGTCATCAAAACATGATAAATAGATCCGCTAATTAGTTAAAATGGCTGGTTCTTAATGTTGACCCAGAGAGCCGGCTTTGGAATATCCTGAAGGGCTCAGGAAGCAAAAGGTTTGAGAGACGTCGGTTTAGGATACGAGCCGCCATCCTCGACCTGCCTAACCACAGAAGCGCAAGGGAGGTCATAGCTCGCTCTTCCTCCGGTGTAAACCCCCCTTGTGAGCCTTTACCGGCTCAGTGCCTTGCGTGGAATTCCTTTGCAGGTAGTCCTCTACTTACAACAGTTCGCTTAGCGACCATTCGAAGTCACAGTGGTACCGAAAAAAAGTGACTTCAGACAGTTTTCCCGCACTTATGACCGTTCTCAGCTTTTTTAAATTCAGCGTCTGGTTTTCTCTTCTCAGGTCTCTCGCTTCCAATTCCACCCGCCAATCTTCACCAGGGAACAAGTCTCAGGCGGGGCAGCAGCACCGATGGAGAAACAAAGGACTGCGTTGTATCGGAGGAGTCATGTACCGGGTGTCGGCTAACAAGCTTTCCAAAACATCCAGCTCTCCCGGCAGGAGCGTAGAAGCAGCAACCAGGAGCCATGCCAGAGGAGGTGAGCGTCAGTCCTTGGCTGCGTCCACAAGGAATGCATAGCTATCCCCCCAGTCACTTTGCCTAAGAGACGGTTGATATTCCGTTCTCCCTTGCTCCAAAGTTCAAAATCCATCTCCTAATAGTGGATACCTTCAGGGTTGAAATGAGGGGACCTTGGTGCTCTCTGAGCTTGGCTGTTTTCTTGCAGACATTCCATTACTCAACCAGGAAACATTATCAATTATTTCCTCCCTCCCTCCCTCCTTCCCCTCCCTTCCCCTCCCTCCCTCCGTCTCTTCCTTCCTTCCTTCTTCCTTCCCTGCCCCACCCTCCCTCCCTCCCTCTCTCCCTCCCTCCCTCCCTTCCTGTGTGGTCCTTGGTAAGAGGGACCAAGGTGGTTTTCTTGTAGTTGTTTCATGTAATTGTTTCATGATTTATCCAGGTAATATCATTAGTGCTAGAAGGAAGGAGAATTTGGGGAGGGGAGGAGGAGGAAGAGGAAGTGGGCTAGAAATGAATGAATAAAAATCAACTTGTTTGCAAGCTAAATTGAATGTCTGTTGCCAAAATGAAAGGGCTGGTCATGTTTAGGTAACTCGTTACCAACTATTTTGGCCAATTTTTGAATTTTAACAGAACAGTTCTTAGGTAGGAAATAATTAAAATCGCAGCTTTGTTGTTTCTGTTTAGGGATCTAATCTCTATAATTATATCTTGAACAATTGAACAGTCCCTCTCTTTAAACGATCGCCTGTTTGAGCATCAGGTTGAGAATCCGAGATGATAAAGAATTGATTTTTGTGAGGTTCGGATGCCACAACTCTCGTTTCCACCCAGAAATCCCCCTGAAATAGGGGAACTGGTCCATTGCATCTGCAGCAATCCAGATAAGGCTCCTAAATATATGTTAAATTAGTTTAGATTTTCATCACCGGCATAATGAGGTGCATTAATACAAACGATATGGATTGCCACAAATGGCAGACTTTCAGGGACTCGAAGCTCGCTCCCCCTCCTTCGTCCCTTCCCTGTTCCTTCCTCGGTGTGTCCCATGCTTGTTCCGAAATCTGTTCCTGAGCGATCTCTGCGGGCGATCCCTTGCTCCATTTCACCAGGCAGTGGGGCACTCAGACCATTTCCAGTCATTAGCGCAGGGAGGAAGTTCTCCGGGCGTGCTTGACCCCTGCAAGTCTATGGCCAGTGCTGAGATAAGCAGGAGGGGACGAGATGAAGAATTGCTCCCAGCTTCTGTCCTCGGAGGATTTTTCTTGGCCTGAAAATTGTAAAGGTTGTTCCTGCTGGGGGAAAGCAATTTTATGGGGTAATCAGTTACAGATGCTTGAACACTTTCCCATATCTGGAATGGAATAAAACAGAACAGAACAGAATACCAGAGTTGAAGTCTTCTAGTCCAGGGGTCTCCAACCTTGGCAACTTTAAGCCTGGTGGACTTCAACTCCACCAGCTTTGCTGGCTGGGGAATTCTGAGATTTGAAGTCCACCAGGCTTAAAGTTGCCAAGGTTGGAGACCCCTGTTCCACTCCAACCCCATGCTCAAGCAGCAGACCCTGTACTATTCGGGACAAATGGCCGTCCCATCTCTTCTTTAAAGCCTCCAGTGATGGAGCATCCACAAGTTCTGAAGACAAGTCTTCCACTGATTAATTGCCCTCACTGTCAGGAATTTCTCCTTAATTCTAGATTGGATTTCTCTTCCATGAGCTTCCACCCATTGCTTCCTGTCCTTCCTTCCAGGGCTTTGGAGCATAGGTTAAGGCCCTCTTTTTCATGGCAGCCCCTCCAGTATTGGAAGACTGCTGTCATGTCTCCCCTAGACCTTCTCTTCACTAGACAGCCATTCCCAGTTCCTTCGTATATTTTTGCCTCCAGACCCTAATCATCTTTGTTGTTCTTCTCTGCACTCTTTCCTAGATTCTGAATATCTTTTTTGTATTTTGACCAAAACCTTTCCAGGATTCTTGTAAAATGTCAAAATAAATCAGACTTCTCCCGTTCATTTCTGTTGTGAGGTCTGCAGATTCCCCAAGCTTCGTCTTTCAGTGCATTTGAGACCATGAGGTCTCAGTCTTCTTCTTCTCTTCTTCTTCTTCTTCTTCTTCTTCTTCTTCTTCTTTTCTTCTTCTTCCTTCTTCTTCCCTTCTCCTTCTCCTTCTCCTTCTCCTTCTCCTTCTCCTTCTCCTTCTCCTTTCTCCTCCCTCCTCCTCCTCCTCCTCCTCCTCCTCCTCCTCCTCCTCCTCCTCTCCTCCTCCTCCTCCTCCTCCTCTTCTTCTCTCCTCCTCCTTCTCCTTCCTGGAGAAGTGGCTTCTGGAGAACCTTCCAGAACTGTAAACTGCTCAGAGTCACAAGGTATTTGGCTTTAAAAGAACAGTTTGATCCAAATCGATCTCCAACCCCGATGAAAACAGTTAATCAAGCTTTCTGGAAAAGAATGTGGCAAGATTCCACAAGAGAGTTAAAACCAACGCTAAGGAGGGAAACTCTGCAGGTTGGAACTCTGGCTCCAACTGAGACGTTCCCTTTCAACATCCGAGGTCTCTGAAAAAAATATCGATCTCAGTAGCACAGCTTGGCTTGTAGTTTTCCTGAAATGGAATTTTATTCTGGTGGTAAAATGGGGCAAAACTTGCTTAACAACTGTCTTGCTTAGCAACATAAATTTTGGTTGTAAGTCAAGGGCTACCTGTATATAAAGTTTTTGCAAGGTTTTTATTGCACAAACCCAGGAACTGGCAATGCCTGACAAACTGTGAATAAATAAGGAAGAAAAAAGATCGTCCCATGGCTGGCACAGAGCCAGCACAGAGCCAGCATAAATTAGACCAGGGTTTGCAAACCTTGGCAACTTTAAGCTGGGTGGACTTCAACTCCCAGAATTCCCCAGCCAACTTTGCTTGCAGATTCCTTTAAATGGAATTTTGTTTTCCAGCAATGACAGTAATTCTTCAAAGTTATAAATTGGTAAAGTTTGGTAGGCAGGGCAGGATTTGGGATACTGTAAACCAGGCGTCTCCAAACTTGGCAACTTTAAACTGGGTGGATTTCAACTCCTAGAATTCCCCAGCCAGCATGTTCCGACGTTAAATATTGGAAATCATAATCACACAATTGTTGTTTCTATCGACATTGTAATTGCGAACAAGACCACATTCTTGTGACTGCGGGGACGTTGCAACAGCCGGAACTAGGAGGATTCGGCATAAGTACCATTTGTTCAGCACCATTGTAACTTTGAACGGTCACTGATGGAATGGTCATAACCCGAGAACTATCTAGAGTGCAAGCAGGATCCACAGGGCTGGTTTTCCGCAAGTTAAGGCACAGGTCCCATTTGTAGTAACAACTCAAGATGAAATATGCATTCAGCCATCGGTCCTGGAGTAACAGTCGGAAAAACACTGAGGAATTACACAGATGAAGTCAGAGACACTGACACAAACGTGTAGTTTTTATATAAATAAATACACTTCACGTGTCTGTGCTCTATACGCTGTTCGATTTACCTCACGGTGCTCCTGACTATCTTGCCTGTACTTGCAGCAGGTGAGATAGGCAGGAGTACCATGAGGTAAATCTAACAGCATACAGAGCGCACACACACCCACAGAAGAAAAAGGCGGGAAAAAAGGGAAACGCCCCCTCCACACCCAGCAACCAATCATAGCGCAGATTGCCTCATGCATGAGTCTACAGCTCAACTTCAGCTGTGTGTTCTGGCCCATTGTTGTCTACTGTTCCAGTTACTACATTTTAATATCCTAATGGAAGAGATGCTAACTTTTGGGCGACCCATTGATTTATTTTCCAACATTTGGGAACGATTCTAGATCTTTCTACAGCCCAGGAGTAGATGGTTCTTGTGATGAACTGCCGGTTAGACCAGAGGTGTCCACACTTGGAAACTTTAAGACTTGTGGACTTCAACTCCCAGCATGCTCTGGCTGGGGAATTCTGGGAGTTGAAGTCCACAAAGTCTTAAAGTTTCCAAGTGTGGAGACTACCTGGGTTAGATTAAGATTACGGAAAAAGGATCTGGGAAAGCAGAAGTATCCCCAAACAATTCACTCTGGACTGGGTTACAAGTCCTTGAAAAGCATTGGGTTGGACCGTCTTTCGCGATTCTGTCCCAAATCCCATTCAAATCCCATCTCAAATTCTCATCAGCTCCATCTCCTGGTCGAGATCTCCAGTTCTGTTCTGTTTTTTTAAGAAAAAAAAAATTTAAAAAAATCTGCCAGCTCAACTTTCATCCTTTAGTTCAGCCTTTCTCCTGCCACCTGCCCGAGTGGGTCTTCTTAATGCTCCGATGGGACAAATTATCTGGAAAAAAAAAGGGGGGGGGAAGGAATCATTGCATCGGTTTCACGCTCCCGCTCTTCCTCCTTTCGCCAGGATCTGCACACGTTTTCATTTTCTATCTGCAGCTCCCAGCGAGATAATCCGCGGTTTAAGCTAAATCTCCACCCTTTTCACCTCGGAGATGAGGCACTGCCGTAAGCATTTCCTGTCCCTTCTTCTTCTCTCTCTTGCCCCCCTCCCCAATTTCCCCCCCTCCTTCCCTGACTCTTATTATGGGAAGGGGCTGCAAGAGGCAAAGAAGGCAGCTGGGGACCATTTACCCGCAATCCACTTTGCGCCCCTGATTGGCAACCGAGACGTCTTACAAACTCATTCCTTGCTCTATTGTTCTGTTTTGCTTCTAGTTTGCCTGTGTACTTTATTATTTTTAATTCTCCCGTATTAAAACGTTTCAGTCGGTGCTCTTTCCGATTTTATTTTTAGCTGAAAGCATTACGTTTTCCACTTTTTGTTTTGTTCTGCCCCCCTCCGGAATGGGGTCAACAGGCATCATTACTGTTGGCTTGTCGTTTTTGGAAAGCGGGTCCCGTCTGGGGGCTTTCCTTCCCCCTGCTCTGTGTAGCGGAGGAAGGGGCTGCCGGGTGGGAGAAGCATTGCCAATTGGATCACAGCGTAACCGAGAGGGCCCAGGTGCAGCACGGC